AAGTATCAGGAAAATTCACTTAAAGACAAGGATTTTCCTGTAGTACACTACATGAGCCATTGAATACTAAAATGGTATAAGTAAAAAACTGAAGTTTTGAATTAATCAACTATTATGGAGAAATTCAATAAAATAATAATAAAGAAATTCAATTTATTTGTTAAAAATAATATGTCTTTAGCATACCCATTCAGTTAATGCACTTAATACTTAATTAATTATTTATTATAAAAATTGCTGTATTCTTAATTTACATGTAAAGTCTTCACAGAAAACTTAATAGAATTAAGAAGTATGGAAATTAGAAATTACCATATTACAATAATTCACCAAGAACACATGAATTTAGAAAAACTCTTGAATCTACACAAACTATAAAGAATATTTTTTAAAATTAGCACTTTACTTCTTAATAAATGAAAACTCTACTTTATTAAATGGAATTAAGACCATGGGCCATTCCTTTCCATATCATGCAGGGGTGAGTCAGGGCATCCAGGACAGTTTTTAATGAAAATTTTATATTTAGGAAGTGAATACACACATAAGAAAAATAATACCAAATTTTACCTATTTATAATAATCAGTTTCAGATTTGAAATTAAGAGATTTGAACTTTTTTGGAAAAAAATTTGAGCTGGAACTAGCATGTTTGCATCTTGGCTTCTCTAAGTAAATTACTATTTACTGAACTAAATTCTTGAAAATATATTCATTTGTCCTAAAATGTTTGGAGAATTGGATGATACATAAGTATTGACATTAAGATTTTCCTAACCTATAATTTTTTTTTTTTAATATAAAAAGTAAAAATAATTTCAAAGTTTAAATACATGAGTGGAGAAATATCTTTATCTAAACTCTCTTCAGATTATTGAGGTCCTATTAAAATTTTTTCTGTGCGCCTTCCCCTCTACAAAAATAACTAAAATTATCTAAAGATAATTTCTTCTAAGGATAAGTCCTTTTCTCATAACATTTTTTCTCAACTCTCTCATTCATTAAGCTAGTTCAATTAGTAAAATATATTAATTAGTTCAAAATTTCCCTGCACATCTATTTATCCATTGCATTCCAAAAGGCTCAGCTACCCAATGCCCTTTATTGTCATTACACTATCTCCATTTGCTCAAAAACAACTGTGCATTACTAGAAAAAGCATGAAATTCCCATTCAAATGATAAAATAATATTGGTGGACTTATGTGTTTTAGGAGTTTATTGTAATTTAAATATAACAATAATGTTTTTACTCCAATTTAGGTTCCATTAATTATTTTTTAATAAAGTATGATATATCTAGATGATATAAATTGTTAAAAATCTTTATTTATTTTTTTTAAAAGATACTAGGGTTCATATGTAGCCTATTTATTATACCAATGAATAATTTAAATTCTTTGTTTAAAAATTAATATTCATCTACAATGACTTTTCACAATTCTTTCATATATTACTTATTTATTTCTGTGAAGCAGAATCCAGTTTGTATGATCTACCAAGTTGCCTTGGTTATGGAAGTTTGATGAAATAAAGTTGATGAGGTGATGAAAACAAACATTCATTTTTGTTTTGAGCCTAACAAAGAATTAGGTCATGTATACAAAATTAAAAATCTGATAAAAATGTATGCAAGCTTTAGATTAGATTATATCTCCATAAGCACAGTAAAAAAAAATAATGAAATTTTATTTTGATACCGTTTTTCAATTGATATAGTGTATACTACAGAGTTTGGGATGAAATGGTTGAGTTGCTATTTATAGATAGCACACAGGCGCAGAGGTGCCCAGAAGAGCGTTTCATGGCGCAAGTAGCAGGATACAAATTTTTGAAGGGGGGCATATTTTGACAGGTTTTTGAATTTTTGAGGGGAACAAATTCAGACAGGGCTATTAATTTTTAAACTAAGAGACAAAAGGAAAACATGGAACATACCGCAGCAAGTGTAATTGTATATGATCTACGATTTTTTCTAATTCTACCTTAGTTTGCTCTGTTTTTAAGAAAATTTGAGCAATAAAATATATTGGAAGGAGGATAGGTTCTTGCGCCATTGACCTTGGGGGGATGGGCACCTCTGCACATGTGTCATGTCCATATCCAGTGAGCACAGAGATAGGATGGGTTGGAAAAGCAGGTTCATAATCAATGAAGAGAATGGAAGCTAGTTCCAGGAGTGACCATCCCTCCAAGGTCGATGGCCCATGTACCATCTCCCTTTCTCCAAAAATTTCCTTTCTATTCTTAAAAACAGTGCAAGCAAAAGTAAGATTAGACAATTCGAAGATCGGCGTGGTCCGTCCTATGTTTCCTCCTAGTTCTCCGTTTTGAAACTTTTCACTCTGAAAATTCATAGCTCCATCGAAATGAGCTCCCTCAAAAATTCAAAACCCAATCAACATGTGCACCCTCAAAAATTTGAAGAAATCAAAAATGCTCCATGAAACTCCCTTCTGGGCACCCCTGTTAAGAGACACAGGCAGGTTAAGCAACATCATTATTTACTTTGAAGGTTCTTTCATTGGTGTAAGAATGGATTATAGAAAGAATAATAATCTAAAGTTTGTTTCATGTAAACAATGAATTATCTGAAGTATATTTCTTGCTCCACAGCAAAATGAAACTGGTGAATAGAGAAACCAATAATTTGACATAAGCCATAATTTGAAAATAGAACAGGGGCAGGTGATTCAATTATCAATATCCAAATCAAAATGGATCAGTTAAAAAACAGGTGTAATAGGCACAGAATGAAATTATTTTTTAATGTAAGTTTAAAAAATGAGTATTAATCATATCAGATAACAATGATAGAAGATAAATGAAATGAAAGATCATAAAGCCAATAGTTATATAGATAGTATAATTTGATTCTCTAAAACAATTGAAGAAAAATGAACACATTTAAAAGGTTTCAGATTAATAATTACTGATTTTCCTTTAAAGTTCAAATCTGTCAAAACTTAAAATGATCATAATATCTAAAACTACTTGTTATAATAAGGCAAAATTTGATATTTTCAGCAAATGTTTATATCTGCTTGATATATAATATTTAAAATTAAAAACTGTGAGAGATGGGTCTCAAATTGAACTTTGGAATGGAATGGTCCGCATAACATATAATAGGCTCAAATATTTTTGATAAAATATTACAACTATATAATCGATTTCACCATAAATTTTTATTTTAAACTTTGTCATTAACAAATTTATATATTTTATATTATTAAATGTAAATTGGTTCAAAAAGAGAACAGATAAAATAAAATAGGTGGAAGAGCAATCAATTAAAAATCTAATAAATTATTAATTGGTTAAATACTATATGTATTGAATTGCTTTATTATAAAATTATAAATCATTAATTAACACACCCATATTGCTTGAAGAGACTAAATAAAAAATATCAAAATAAAATTAAGAAACAGGTATATAATACATTACGGTTATTTATATACTATATTTATTTCGTTCGAAGTTAACGTACTGGCGAATATTTCGATAAAGAATCAAAGAATGTTAATATATACTCTAGAATTACGTTTAAGTAAATTGGTGCTGTTACTATAATAATTTTTCAGCAAATAAAGTGGTGGGGATTAAGACTTATGTCCGACAGCCTAACATAACCGTAACCTAAATCTAAGCAATCACTAAGAATAAGCATTCTATCCCCACCCTAAAAGCCTGCAGGCATCAACGAAATCATTACCGATTTTGCTAAGCAACACCACACAGATCTTGACAATAAGGAACAAGAATGATTGAAATATCATCCTTTTATAGGCACTGGCGGATCCAGGATTTCATTGTGGGGGGGAGGAGCTTCAGCCAGTAAGAATTTTTTTTAAATAACAGCAATTACTTTGGAAAAAACTAACTACCTATACCAAAACGTGTTTAACTGATTCTTGAAATCCTATTAAGTTTAATTACACGAACAATAATACTTTTAGAGTCATTTTTAATATTTTTTTCTTAATACACAGTAATATTTTATCATTGTGGGAGGTGGGGGGTCCTTAGCCCGAAAGTCTCCCCTCTCTTTTCCCCTTAGATCCGCCTGTGTTTATAGGCTAAAATTTGAATATTTGTCTATCCCTAAACAGTTGATTGATAGGTTCATTCCGTAATAAAGAAGACAATGAAAGTGAAATTGCCGCTAGAAATATCAGGTCGATTCCTACAAATTAGATTGGTAAATGAAGTTGTGTGATGCGCGCACTACATCAGATTCTTCCATCATCAAACAAAACTATTACAAATCATTTTTGTAGGATTGAAGCAACAAGATTATTTTATAGCAGGATTCAAATATGTCAATGTACCATCCAATATTACATTCTCAACAAAGCAAATCAGAAATTGGTGAAAAAATTACTAATCAATTTTATTTAATTCCATCCACTGCTTCTTACATATGCGCACATGCATTTTGCTAGATACAGCTATATTTCAAAAGGCTCGTTCGATTTAACCTAATGGAGGAAATGTATTTACAATATAAACCAAGGACATATCATGTTTGACTAATATTTCTATAATTGTGTTAAGAAAACTAGCAAATTCCTTCAAGTTTAGAAATTCAGGCATTTATTACACTTGTGAGATACATTTTATAATAAAGGAAAGACAATTATTTTTTTTATTTTAGCTATCACTGATCTATACATTTATCTCTGTATAAGTACAGGCTGTAAATTAAAGCAATATAAGGGGTTAAGAGACAAATCAAGTAATATGAACTCAATCACACTATCAAAAGATTACTGCTTGAACCTTTTAAATGAACTACTAGAAGTTATAAATTTTAATTTTCAAACAAATATTTTACATTTTATTAAGAAAAGTAATTTTTATACATTATCAAACTATAAAGGTGTTTTTAAAACAAATACTTCTAGTGTTTAGTGTTTAACTTATAAACTCACATTATTAGTCTAATATTAGCACATGAGGGATAATATGAAATTAAAAACAATTAATATAACATACCCACAGTTGAGAATGCCAATGGAATTTGGACTCCGCATAGGTTTACTATGTAACAAAAATAAGTAGTAGGGATAGACACTACAACCATACCAAGTTGAATTTTTTTAAACTTGTTTATGGCTGAACAAAGAGGGGTGTAAGGGAACCTATGGAGAAACAAATATAATATGTCAAATTAATAATAATTCTAATTTATTCTTTTTACAAAAGCTACCTGTAGATAGGAGTAAATGAAATGTCGACAGGAGTCACGTTTACTTTTCTATAAACAGATCTGTTCAAATTTTTAAAAGTAGTAATATTTAAATTTTTAAGAAGAAGTTTAGTTAAAAATAACATGGTTATCGTTAAATTTATTGATGAACAATGATGAAATAATAAACAATTTCTTAATAATATAATCAAGGAATCGACGGAGTATCAAAAATAATATTTAATTAGCCGCACTTATTAGGACCAAACATCACTAGGTCTCAATAGTAAAGGTTATAAAAAAACTTCCAAAGAGCACAGCTACGAGCAAGGCGTATACAATTACCAGGTTCCCACATTCAGAGGGAAAATAGTGGGGAGGAATCGAAGTCTGATGTAAACACTAAACCACGGTTACCCCCTCCTTACCTTTTTTCTTTACGTTTAAAAATATTATTTAGCTTTATATATGAAATCAATACTTTAACTTACAATAACATATTAATTTATTAGAGAGAGAACTACAATAAAATTATAATTCTGCTCAACTGCGTTGAGTTGCTAACTGACACAGCTAACATATCTGGTTGACAATATCTAACAATTCAGCTTGATACACTTGGTATATAAAAATGTCATTTGTTATTTCCTTTCTTTTCTCATCCTCATTCTTCTCAATTCTGTCACCCGTATAAATAAAGCAATGGCCTGATTCTCAACTTGGTTTCTCTTTAAAAAAATATTGGAATCCACTTTGCTCGTTGGGTCGGTAGGAATTGTTACATTTCAACATTTTATTCTTACTATAAAAATAGGCCAAATATAAATTTGATGAAATATAGCTCTCATGAGTAATATAAACCGAATATAAGTGTAAAAAAAAGGGGAAAATAAAGAAAAAAAAAAGAAAATATTTTATCAGACACAACTGTTATGGATTTCGATAATTTTTTTTTTCATTTTGTAGGGAATTTAGTAAGCTTTCAGATACTCATATGTATAATGGGTCAAAAATTGGTCCTTTTCGAGTTATTCCCAAATTATGAATTAGTTCGTAACGTCTCGATTTGATACAGCACCATCATACGGTTTGAAACCTCCCACTTTTACATTCACTTTTATTTAAGTCCAGGTATAAAATTATGAATCGAAATTACGATTCGCGCACTCTACGTGATATTCCCTGTCTATTGTTACCTCATTCGTCAAAATCCATCACTCCTAAGAGCCGGAAAAGGGATATATATTTGAGAAATAATATATAAGAAGAAGATATTTAAATTGCGTGAACAATTATTGTTTCTAAACATATGTTATGAGGAGTAAGCAACAAAGATTTAACAAAGCCTTTGTAATTTAAATGAAATAGCGGATGTATACCACTACGTCTCTGCTTGTTGGATTTTACAGGAATATAGAATCAAATATTTTAAGAAAAAAATGGTAAACCGCAGTGAACTTAGAGACATATTCAATGGCAAAGATTGGAGCAGTTTATATATGTATATAAATATAGGATGTTTTTAATTCAGCAATACAACACATAACATTCTTTAGTGATTTTTTCAAACCAAGTGTATTATAGTATATGCAAAGGTTTTTCTCTCTCAGTTTTTTGCTTTTTTAAGAAGTAAATTCTAAGTAAATTGTTTGTAAAATAAGTATATTTAGTGCCAAAAGTACCTTTGATGAGGTCGAAGCTGTTTTGTTCAAGAACTTCAGCCAGATAAGCCCAAAAATGTTTTATTTATTTTGCATGTTTTTGTTTGGTTCCTAAATTCTTTACTTATCTACAAATAGTGAAGTTAATCCCATAACTATACACATTTATAAATTTCATTATTGTTTACTAATTATTTTTCCTGATTCTTGGATTTTTTTAAACATTAATTACCTAAGCTAACAATGAACAGTATTGCTCCACCCAGTCCATATTCAAAACGGCGGAAAAGAGGCAGAGTACCAGAGTATCTACCCTCGACATCTCTAATCTAACAGATAACAATCGTAATGTAACTCCAAGTTACTTAGTAATGAGTAGGAAAGGTGAAAACAATTTCAAAAATATTTCACCTTTTTTTATTAATAAGGTTATTACTAACGCTGTTGGTAGTGTTAAAAACATACGAAAACTTAGAGATGGGAATTTGTTAATTGAAACCACCAACGCAAAACAATCAGAAACATTATTTTATCTACTCCATAACCATGCCCAATGATAAAATAATTCAATGGAAATGCAATGGAATCTTTACTCATTTCTCTGACCTACAGCTATTGATACAGGACAACCACCCCCACTCTCCTACGTCTGCTGGAAACATACTTAAAACCCATCGATAAGTTGACACTTAGGGGCTTCGAACTTGGTCGTCTAGATAACGTTAGTGGAGCTCGAGCTTGTGGAGGAGTTATGACAGTAGTATCTCACCGCTTGCAATTCGGACCGATTGTTCTACACACCAGATAACAAGCTATTGCTATCAGAATTCTAGGTGAGCAACCCCACACTTTATGCAACGTATATCTACTTCAACAAACACCGTTAACATCAGAACAGTTGGAATCACTTTGTTCCCAACTGCCTAGACCACTTCTACTTTTAGGAGACCTGAATACCATCTGGGGATCAGAAAGAAGTGATAGAAGAGGACAGATAATAGAAAGCATGCTGGATGACAATAACCTACATGTTCTCAATTGCGGTGAACCAACGTTTTTAAGCTCATCATATGGTACATACTCTTCCATTGACGTCGCATTTTGTTCAAGCAGTTTGTTACTGAACACCCTTTGGAATGTAATAGCCGATCAGTATTCCAACGACCACTTGCATATCATGATTAATATGATTGGGCATCTACCCTTCATGAGCAAAAGATCAAACTGGATTCATCAAAGAGCAAGCTGGCAACAATATGCGGCAAAAGTTTAATTCCCTCATGACCTCCCAGACGATGTAGAAGAGAGCTGCACTCTCATTACATCAATAATACGAAAAGCTGCAGACCATTTTATTCCTAAATCATCAGCCAGACCAAAACGACAACCAGTTCCGTGGTGTAACACCGATTGTAAAGATGCTATAAAAAAAGAAGAGAAAAGCCTATAGGGCTTTTAAAAGAAACACGACTCTTCAAAATTTCATAGAATACAAAAAAGCAAAAGCAATATGTAAGAGAGTGATATGTTACTACAAAACAACTTCCTGGCAACAGTATGTATCTTCCATTAATTCAAATACACCATCTTCCACGGTGTGAAAGAAGGTTCGGGCTATCGAAGGAAAACGCATTTTTCAACCTATCTATTCAAATGCTGGAAGAGGTGTCTCTTGTGTCGAGCAAATTGTTGCGAATGAGTTGGCAACTTTTTTCTCAATGCATACAATTGGTAACGACGAATCATTTTCCTCTTTGAAACAAGAAGCTAGAAAGAACCCATTTGATTTTACAACAACAAATGAAGAAAAATATAATTTACCTTTCAGCATGAGAGAACTAAAAAGCATCCTCACTGAACTAAGAGGTAAATCACCAGGTCCTGATGAATTGACATACGAAATGTTTAAACATCTATCTGATGACTCATTAAAGACAATCCTACAACTTTATAATAAAATATGAACCAGTGGTGTTTTTCCTATTCAATGGAAAGATTCTATAATACCAGTATTAAAAGCAGGAAAGCCTAAAACTTAAGTGACCAGTTACCGTCCGATTTCGCTAACAAAATGCATTTGTAAAATTCTAGAAAGGATGGTGAATCCAAGATAATTTGCAATGTGGTTTCCGCAAAAAACGCTCTACCATCGACAACCTTGTCAGAATAACTACTGAGATTCAAGATGGATTTGTCAATAAGGAACACTCGGTAGGTATATTCTTTGACATAAAAAATTCTTTTGACACAGTATGGCAATACAATATCCTCAAGCAACTGTATGGATGGGGAGTTAGGGGAAATCTTGCAAACCTTATTAGAGGATTCCTCGGAACAAGGTTTTCAGAATCATGGTAGGTGGAACTGCTTCTGAAAGAAAGTGTACTTCCAGGCTCAGTATTGAGTACGACTTTGTTTTCAATCGCTATTCGAACTATAACTGACTGCTTGACACCCAATGTTACAGGTTATTTATTTGCTGATGATTTTCCAATCCTCTGCAAATTACGTGACCTTTAATTCATTAAGCTCTGTCTTCAGGATGTAGTAAAAAGTTTAGCATTGTGATCACAAAGAACAGCATTTAACTTCTCTACAGATAAGACCCGATGTGTCCACTTCAGCCGTCATAGGAAATATAGTACTCCACCCCAAATCACTTTAAATAATGTCCCACTTTTGTACACAAACCACATGATTTGTATATAAATTAACTTGGTCTATGCATATCGAACAACTCAAATCCAAGACTATAAGCCGAATGACGCTACTGAAGAAATTAGGTAACACCAGATGGGGATAAGACAGGAAGACTATGCTCCGTGTATACCAAGCAATAATCCTCAATAAAATTGATTACGGTAGCTTTATCTACGCCTCCGCAAGCCATAATAAAATTAAAAAACTAGACGCAGTCCACCATGCTGGCATACGCCTCTCCACTGGAGCTTTCAAAACAAGCCCGGCAAACAGTCTTTGCGTGGATGCTGGAATGGTACCTCTTTTATATCGCCGTAAAAAGCTGGGTACCAAATATATTTCGAAAATATATACACGACTAGGTAACCCTGCATACAATTCTATATTCCATCGGAATAATGCCGACAAATATAGAAGACTGAAATATTCCTCCCATCCACTTTGGTATAGAATGAGATGGGTTATCTTTGAACTAATTCAGTATCCGTACACAAATCTACGAAGAAAGCTACCGCCATGGACATTATCACCTCCACAAGTAAACAGTAATATTTTGAAAGTCTCCAAGGCAAAAAAAATGCTCCCCACAAGAGTTTTGTCAAACGTTCCTAGCTGAACTTATCACTAATCCGACTAATTACCAGTCCGACAAAATAATATATACAGACGGCTCTAAAACGAATGAGTCAACATCGTGTGCTGTGTTGAATGACGGTAGACTTCTAAAATTCAAACTGGAGATTTTCTGTAGTATTTTCAGCCGAACTGATGGCAATTTTAAAAGC